GAAAGCTGATGCCCAGAATTAAAGTTTGTTAGTCTCAAAGGTGCCACTGGACTCAAACTTTGTTCTGTTGCTTCAGACCAACACGGCCGCCCACCTGAATCTAGTCTCACAGTGGTTCGCCCTGGAGGCGGTCGAACCCACTTTCCGGAGGCCAGTCCTGCCCGTGTTTAACGTGTGAAAGGCCCCCTCGAACGATCCTGCTCGCCCTCTGGACCTTCTCCGAAGCCTTACTGGGGGTGGGGGTGTTTTAATTTCCCTCTCCTAACCCGGGATGGATTTCCAGCACCTCATTTCTGCACACGCGGATTCCAGCCACACAGTCCCCAAACTCCGCCACGGTCCTCCGGGGATTCCGCTGGTTTCCATGGGAGATCGAAATCCAGGAAGGGGGAAAGATTTTTGCTCCCCCCACGAGGTTTCCCTGCCTCGAACCGCAACACTGTACAATGATCTCAGATGACCTGGGGGGTGGTGGGGTTAACATTACATCGCCCCCTCCTCCAGTCGCGCGGGGGTGGAAACCGCAGGAAGAAGAACCGTGCGCTCTTCTTCACCCCTTTGCTTTGCGTTACTTTATGGGAAGCACCAGGAAGAAATAATGTCAGGCCGGAGGGGGGGGGAGAGGCTTAGCCTCTGGAGGCATCTTGACCTGGGCCAGCAGGCGACTCTGGCGAGGGAGTTGCCGTGTGCGTGTGAATCCATCCGTCTGCAGGTCGCTTGTATCCATGGCGCCTCTTCTCCACCTTATAGTACGGCGGCCGCGATCTTATAAAAGTCACTTTCGGAGGGAGTAAACTAAGGACACTGAAATGAACGAGTTAAAAAAATATAAAGAATTAAAAAGCAAGCATCCCTTTCAGGGTCAGATCCGGGACGCGTCTCCTTAGCCACGCATATTGGAACTTATTTTCCCCAAATTGGTCGCTGTCTCAGGCAAACGCCGCGGTGTCCGCGAACGTTCCAAAGAGCTTCCCCGCACATCAGTGATATTTAAACCAGCCCTTGTCATTCCCGGGGAGGGGGGGGGCAGTCGGGGAGCTAAGAGATCGCGGGCTTGAGGTCATATTTATGTCAGCCCCACTCCACTCGCCTTGGGGAGTAAGGCAAGCAGAAGAGCGCGCTGCGCTCCAGACCGATCCTAAAGCAGAGTCAGCACCCTCCCGAACCCCTGTTCAGGATCTAGCTGCTCAGACTGCCGCGGGATCGTGCGCCTTTGAGAGCAGAGCGCAATCGACAGAAATCCAACCGGTCGTGGCTTCGTCTGACCCGCAGATACAGCGGTGATTAAAAGCGTCGCCGGTTGAATTTCCACCTGTCTTGCAGCGAGTTGAATGCACCCTCGGGGGTCGTGCGCCTGTGGACGTGAACCGAGAATCGGGACTTGCAATAGGTCAATCCTGTTCCTTTCCCTCCCACGGCCTTCTGATTTATCCTCAGGGTTTAAAGCGCCCTACTCAAAAAGGCAAAGCCCGGCCGGTGGCCGACCCGACCCCAAAACTTCAGATCAGGTTGTAACGAGTCTCCAGGATAACAAGGTTAAAGCAGTCTGATGAGTGAAGCTGAAGCGAAGGGGAGAAGAGCGCTGGCTGGGGCGGGGAGTTTCACCGGCGCCCCGGCACTTAGCATTATTCTTTCCCAGGCAAGCAGAGAGTCGCGGCCGTGAGCCTGTTGAATATCTCCCCCCCCCCCCCCTTCGCTTTGTCTGTGGCCTACATTTTCGTAAAGGTTTCCAGTGCATTTGAACCACAGAGGGGGGATCTCAGAAGGGGAAACAGTAAACATTCGGTCTGCCCCCCTTTCCGCAGGGTTGCCGAAACTCTCGCCCCCCGCCCTCCCCGAAATTCTGCCAGAACTTCGCGAATCCAGTTCAGAAAGGGAGCGCGCCCGTTCCGGAAAGCCAAGAGGTCGCTCTCATTAGACTTTTAAATCAGGGTTTTTTAAAATCTAGCTCTGGCTTGACTTTCAACTTTCTCCGGCTGTTTTGCAAAGCTTAAAGAGCCGGCCAATGTTAACCACCTTTTAGTGATAGATCCTCCTTAAGGAAGTATGATTTGCTGATCCTAAAAGTCTAGCAACGAACCGACTTCGCCGCCGGAGCAAAGACCAATTTAGGGCCCAGCTGGGCCCAGAATAAAGCGCGTGTTGAACTCGTCTCCGGACTGAAATCGAAGGTTTATGTCGGATCTAGACGCAGCGTGGGACGCGAGGAGCTCTTTCAGGAAAAGGCTGGAAATACTTTGGAAAAAGCTGAACTTTCGCAATCGCTTCTCCGGGGCACCAACATTTCTGAACGGTTCGAACTGGCAAGAGACCCTCCAAAAATCTCGCAATAGAGCTAAAGAATTTTCACGACCTCTTAAGGGAGACGCATCTGGGGAGGGAGAGTCGCCAAATTGTTCATAATAAGAATCCGTAAAAAAAGGGGGGGGGCCTAATATGACCAATCGTTTTCTTACTAGCCCAAACTGCTTTGTCTGGGCTTTTGTGTTGTTGTTTTTAAGCAGACGTTGTTGTGTCTGCGGCAGGTCACCAACTTTTAACCTCTACTTATTCTGCGCAACGAAGTAAAACAAAAAAATCTAGGGATCCTGGAGGAAGGGTCCGGGGGGAGGGAGGGGAGAACAAACAGGGCGCTCCCAAAGACAGCAGTTTTCCTCCCCACTCCGCACCCCGGCGCGCGAATACACGCGGAGGCGCAGTTGCCCGCGGCTGACCTGCAGTTAATATTGGCTAAACGCGGTTATTATGATGGGATCACGCCCCCCCCCTCCCCGCGCCATCCCGGACAGCTTAAACAGGCTTCAAATAGGAGAATGGAATGAAAGGGGGAAGCCTGGTCGAAGGCGGGGGAGGGGGGCGTGCGGCACAGTCATTGTGATTTGCAAGGCACTGCCCAATATTCATAGGGCTTATGTTTGCACTAATCAAGTGAAATAACTTATTGATATTCCTGAGTAGCAAAGGAAGCCCACCCCCTTTAAAGGGACAAGTACACAATAAATGCGTACTGGCTCCTTCATACAGACAGACAGGGGTCATTTCGGGGGGAACGCTGTTCCCCCGGTAAGGTGCAACCCAAACGCACACCCATCTCTTCGCTTTACCTAGTCGGGGCCGCAGTGCCAGCCAGAGGGCTAGCCAAGATGCGTTTTGCACAGATCGCTCCCCCCTTCCTTGCCCCACTGCCTCTTTTCTTCTCTCCCCCCTTGGTTAAAGGTTTCCTTTCCTGGTCTCTCCCTGCGGGTCTCCTCCAGTGTTTCAACTTCACCGGGTCCGCGCTCAATATGTAAATGAGGAGCCTGGGCCAGCCCCGCCCCTGAGGGGGAGAGGGCAGGGGAGGGGAGGACCGGCCTTGCAGCGCTGCTCTCTCTCTCCCCGTCTCCAGCCTCCCCCCTTCAAGAAAGCAGGTCCTATAAGGAAGCGGGAGCCCAGCTGTGCCCCTCCTTCCACCGCCTGTTTACGGACGGCTCTCCAAAGTTCTTGTCGTGCCCCCTTTATAGCTCCGGGAGACGGGGAGTGATGAAAATGTTTTATTACCTTTGAGGGGCCGGGTCTGATCTGTCAGAGGGAGAGAGGGGGGAGGCGCCGGCAGAGAGAGAGAGAGAGAGAGAGCGAGCCGTGGCCGAGCCAGATCCCGAGGAAAGAAAGGTGAGAGCGCCGAGGGGGAACGGAGGCTCCGAGCCAGGAGGCAGATCCAGAACCGACTAGCCGCCGGCGGTGCTCGAGGGCCGAGGAGAGAGAAGCAGAGCGACTCCGGACTTGGTTGCGTTCAGACGGCCAAAGGAGAAGCGTCGCTGGTCCCGGGAGAAGGAAGGTCTCCTTTGGAGGCGGCGGCGGCGGCGTCGAGGGACCGGGGGCGATCGGACGGGGCGATTTTCGTCTCCTTCTTCTTCGGACCGGGAAGATTTTATGCCCAGGGGGAGTGGAGACCCCGCCGGTCGCCCTGCAGCCGCGGAGGAGCAAAGCGAGGCTGGCGAGGAAACCCGCCTGGAGCTGCGGATCTTTGCCCGAGGCCGGGGTCCGAGCGGCCGGCCGAAAACTGCCTTCCCCTGAGCGGCTTGCGAGGGGATTTCTGTTGCCCGGGAAGGTGCCCTTTTCGCAGTTGGGCTGTTTCCCCAGTCGGCAGGGAGAGACTTTTGGGTGAGAGCCGGCTTCAGCCTGCGTTCCCTCGGCCAGGGGGAAGAAGGACGCAAGAGGAGCGACCCGAAGGCCTTTTTGTGGGCACCCCATAAGAGGAAGACGCCCCCCAGTTCTGGCAGAGCCCCTGTCCCGCAATCGCCTGAACTCCTCTTCGCGGGGCTTTTGGCTTCAGTCGCCCCCTCCTCTCCCAACGGCGTCCTTTGCCTCTGCAGTGGGGGACGCCCGATCCGAAAGGAGGCCTCTCTCGGTGTATCCCTGGGGAGGGGCCCCCGCCCCCCATCCCTTGGCGTCCTTTAGCCCCGGAAGGCTCAGCCCCTCCCTCGAGTCCTCCCAGATGCAGCCGATCCCTGGGCGCAGCCCCCTTTTCGAGCAGCCCCAAACGCTCCCCCGTTTCTTTCCCTTCCTGCTACGTTAGAAAGAGCGGGACTTCGAAGGGGGCCAGGCCACGAGGGTCTCTCAAGCTTCGTCCGAGATCAGAGGGACCCCCGGCTCCTTTCGGACAGGGAATCCCGCAAAGCCCCCCCCCCCTTCCCCCCTTCCCGACCACTTTCCAAAGTTCAGGGCTACTCAAACACAAGCACCCCGGACTTTCCCTCCGATCTGAGACTCTCTGCGCTCTCCAAAGAGGGACGCAACCGACTCGGGGCCCTTCCCTGCAGACGTCGGGCAAGGAGCCTTTCCTTCTGGGCCCCGCCGCTGGCCCCCGCCCCCCAGCCGCCCCGGCACCGTCCGCTCCCTTCCCCTTCTCGAGAGGTTGCCCTCCTCACTCCCATTCCTCGGGCTCCTGACGTCGTCCCAGCGCAGGGGCCTTCTCGGCGCGCCCCCTCGGAGCCCCTCCGGCCCGGCCGCCCGGCCTGGGGATGCTGGCGGTGGGGCAGATGGATGGCACCCCCCGGCAGAGCGCCTTCCTCCTCAGCAGCCCGCCGCTGGCCGCCTTGCACAGCATGGCCGAGATGAAGACCCCCCTCTACCCGGCGGCGGGGTACCCCCTGCCGCCGCCCGCCGCCGCCGCCCCCAGCGGCCCGTCCTCGCTGTCGTCGTCCTCCTCCTCGTCGTCGTCTTCGTCCTCGGCGTCCGCCTCGCCGTCCCCGCCGCTGGGATCCCCGACGCCGGCGGGCCTCAAGCCGCCCCACGCAGGAGCGCTGGTCTCCCCGCCGCCGCAGCTCTCGGCCGCCACCCCGCACGGCATCAACGACATCCTCAGCCGGCCGTCCATGCCCCCCGGCGCCCCCGGCCTCCTGGCCGGCCTGCCTCGCTTCAGCAGCCTCAGCCCGCCGCCGCCCCCGCCGGGCCTCTACTTCAGCCCCAGCGCCGCCGCCGCCGCCGTGGCCGCCGTGGGACGCTACCCCAAGCCGCTGGCCGAGCTGCCCGGCAGGACCCCCATCTTCTGGCCGGGGGTCATGCAGAGCCCCCCCTGGAGGGACGCGCGCCTCGCCTGCACGCCCCGTGAGTACCGCCCGCCTCGGTCCCTTCGGCGCCAAGTCCGCTGGAGACTCGGAGCTCACGGCCGGCTGCGGCTCTGTCTCCGGCGCTGCACAGCTCACCTCCTGGCCTGACCTCCGCAGACCCCCCCACCCCCGACCTCACTTTCCTTAGATTCCCCCCGGGTAGCCACTGCCTCGCTCCCCAGCCTCCAAGCTGCGGAGTCATTTGTGAGCAAAGATTCTACCGTGTGAGGCACCGGCATTAAAGTTGTGAGGGAGCGATCATGGCTACTGCGTAGATTCGTTTGCTCTCTGGAGCCACCCTTCCTGACCTAAAAATGTGTGAGCCGGGGGCTAAAAAACCTGTGAGCTAGCACACACTAACCCAGCTTAGAGGGAACACTGGTAGGCACTGCCCCCTCAATGGACACCCCCGCATGTCATTAACACCTCCCAGACCCCTAACGCCCTGCACCCCACCTCTGGAGACGGTGGGGGACCCCCGCAACCTCCAGTTCCCCCCTCAATTGTCCCCAGCCCTTCCCTCCCGTCTTCATTGGACACGGAGACCCGCAGATTGCCTCTCTCCCCCCTTCCTCCTGGCCCTGGAACCAGGAACAGGCATCATTGGGTAGCCTGCGTCCCCCAACCCCGGGGGTCTCCCTCCCTCCCTTGCACATTTGGCCCTGATTTCTCCCCACTAGGAGGCAGGGAAGCCTCAGCCCCCAGACTCGGCCTGCCTAGAATCAAGAGGGAAAGGAAAGCGCCATTATCCCTACATGCACCCCTGGTTTTGTGCCCCCTCCCTTGGTTCCCCCTGCCCTGCTCTCTTCAGAGGGGCCTGCCCCCAAACTGAAGAATGCCGAACTGCGTGACACCCACCTTGGCGGGGTCAGATACAAACAAGACGCCCGCGGGCATATCTTTTAATTCGTGGCATTTTCGGGGGAGGCGTAGGAGGGAAGGTAAGAGGCTTTGCGTAACGGGGTGACTCTCTCTACCAACCAGTGCGTTTTTAGTGACTCCGAAGCGTCCTTTGGTAAACTTGGTGCGCCCCAAAGGGGCAAGATAACGCTTGGCGTCGCAGCCCCAGCGCGCTGTGTGCGCCCTTCTCCCGGCACGCTTCATCAACGCGGGGGGTGGGGGCGCATTTTGAAGCTGCAGTCTGGAGAATATGCCCCGCTGGGCTGGGGGGCTCGCCACACGCCGGAGACCGGCCGCCTCCAGGCCTGCCGAGCTCTGGCGCCCAGGCCGCAGGAGCCTCGGAGTCGTGTGCTTTTGGCAGTAGTTCTTGACCAGGAGTGCCCTCGGTTCTTTGGGGGCGAATTTCTTCTGCTAAAGAAAGCGAGATGTTTTCTGAGCCCCCTTCACAGTCAGTCGAGGTGCGGATCTGGGGACCTTTCCTTCCAACAAAAGTTTCGCCAGACGGACCCCGCTTTTCCCGAAAGGGAAAAAAAAACCGTGGGGTTTTGGAACGCGGTCGGTCCATTGACGAACATGCGCAAACGACCCGGGGCTGCAACTCTAAGCAGAACTACTCGGGAGTAGTAAAGTATAGAACGGAAATCTAAGTGGAGATCAGTCTTCCGAGCAGTCCTCTTTAGGGTCTACCAGCAGCTTTTCCGTTTTTTTGTTTGGTCGGCGGGGCCGGCCTTGTGCAAAAGAAAGCGCGACTTCCATTTAGAAGGCATCTCTCGGATGGCCTCTTTAGAGGCGGTCCGGGTGAATGGGAGAAATATCAATTCGAAGCGAAGGGAACTTTTGTTGCGCAAAGAATTTCCGGCACTGTTTGATTTTATATTTTATTTTTGTAAAAGATATTTTGATTCTTTTAACATTTATTTTCCTAGAGATTTTTTTTAACCTGATCTGTTTTGGATATAGAAGGCGCCTTTAGTAACAATGACAAATTGTCTTCTTTCCTTCGTTCTTCCTTCCCGGTCACCGCTCTCTGTAAGAAAATGACGGAAAGGGGGAGAGGAAGAGACCCGGTTTTTAATCATTCCTAGAAGAATCATTTTAACTGAATTAATTTAATTCGTCGTTTTAATTGCCGGTGCGGGTTCTCAGACGTTAAAGAGGGAGCCCATGCCGTTTCAATCCATTTCCCACTGGAGATATTTTTTCTAACTATTCCCCCCCCAAAAAAAGGTGTGCTTGGTTTTGCCAGCGTCGCCTGCGCATCATTTTACGCGTTAAAATAAAAACACGCAAAAACCTGTCTCCTCTCTCTTTCCCCTCTCCCTCCGCATTCCTGTTCTCCAGACCAAGGCTCGATTTTGCTGGACAAAGACGGCAAGAGGAAACACACCCGACCGACTTTCTCCGGCCAGCAGATCTTCGCCTTGGAAAAGACTTTTGAGCAAACCAAGTATCTGGCCGGCCCGGAAAGAGCCCGGCTGGCTTACTCGCTGGGCATGACAGAAAGCCAAGTCAAGGTGAGCGAAGGTCCCGTCGAGTGGGTGGGTGGCTGGCCGGGCGGGCGGGCTTGCGTAACGGAGAGCTGGGTCTGAGAACGGGTCTCTCGAAAGGGAGGCTGCTAAAGCAGGAACAAAAGGGAGCCGGCTGCCCCCCCCCAGTCCCTTTTCTCACCAGAGGGTGCCAGCGCTGGGGGGAGACAGCCGCCGGTTTTCCATGCCTTTGGAAACCAACCGTGGGTCCCGAAGCTGTACAGATTTCTCTTCAGGAGCAAATATTTCCAAGACGACAATAATATAATATGATGATGGTGATGATGATGTATGGGCAGTTCCCAAGAACTTGGCTAGGTCTCTGCTTGCCGAACACACTATCTGCTAGTCAAATATCTGACTGCCAATTCATCCTCGCCATCCTCCTTGTAGTTTGCAGGCTGCAAACAGGGCGACAATATTAAAGCCACCCATCCGGACCCCAGGTCTGGACCGTTTATTTTCCAACTTAAGAGAGTGATAATAAGAATCAATACGCGTGCCTTCTCTCCATATTAATTTAAGGCTCTTATCCACCCTTCCTCTGAAGTATGTTGCCCTGCAAAAAGTTTAATTATGTCCAGGAAATATATTCAGGAGCCTGGGGATCTTTGGGTGTCAACTCGAGTTAAAAAGACTTCAGCGTTAAGGGGCTTCAGAGTCATCTGAAATGTAAGACCTTCAGGGTTGGGGAGGGGGGGAATCCCGGAAGAGCTCGATCCAAAACTTCCACAGAGGGGGTTTGCCACGCGGGCTGGAATACATTAACCGACTTCAAAGCCGCCGTGGAAAAAAGAAGTTTTGCTGGAAATTGTACGTCGCTATCTAGAGGCCTCTCCTGGAGAAATTTAGTCATGAGAATGGCACAAGCAGAAAAGCTATTTGTTTATTTCAGATATTTATAGACCCGAATTTTCCCCAGGCACTCGGAGTCCAAGTTAGTGAAAAGAAGCCAGCTTTTTCTTCAGAGGCCAAAGGGCTTGTCGGTGAACACCAGGGCCACCCTCGCTCTCCAACAGGACGGGCCGTTTTGATCATATAGCGATAATATGTAGGATGCTGATACTCAGAATGAAAAAATGATATTTAGAATGCAACAAGCGTTTTCCTGTCAGCTAGACGGGGCTGCACCGTCAGTTTCGGTTTCAAGACGAGCAAAGTCTGTGTCGGTGGAATTCAATTTGTCTCTTTTGGTTCGTGGTCTATGAGTTTAAAGCTGTATTCAATCCTGCATATAAGCTACATATAGCGCCGGGTGCGATTCCAACAACCGATATATTTCAGACACCACAGATTTCGACGGGAAAACCCAAGCCAGGAAATTCATTTCTCCCCATTGAAATCGACTACATTTTACAAAGAGTCTAATTTTGGTTCGATATGTCCCTCTCTGCTTTCTCTCTCCCCCCTCCACTTTTTTACGGGCATGTCTGAAACCTCACAATAGCCTGAACCGAAGAGACCTTTTTCTGAATGGGACGAGAATGGAGTTAACGAGCATAAAAGTAGATAAGGCGGCTCACAAAGCCCTCCCGCCACCCTTGAATTTGTTGATCTCAATGGAGAACTAGGCAGACCTGTCAAGTGGATTAGACGGGGAGAAACGGTTCTCTCCCCCTGCCCCCAATTTTCCAAAGGGAAAATTCTCGAGACATCCTTTGGAACAAATGTAGCTGAGCATGGTGTGTGTGTGTGTGTAAAAGGGGGAGGGAGAGGCTCCCTTTATGGATGGTTTCTTCTTCCTGGAGTTATCTTGAAGACCCTCATTTGTCAATGTAAATATGTCCAAAAGGCTGTGAATAAATTAGTACAATCTTGCTCAATAGAAGCAAGAAGCCACCCACTTACTGTGGGGTGGGAGGTGAATATACACACACACACATATATAAGGGGGGGGAGGAAATGTTTATTGTGAGTGGAGGGTTTCTTTCTTCAAACCTGAGCAGAAATGTTTAGTTAAGTGGATGATGTATTGTTGTTATTATTACTACTACTGCTATTATTGTCTTCATCATCAGCATCATCTTCATCAGCATCATAAAATTCCCAAGAACTCAATAGATCTCAAATTGCAGAACACCATCTCTACCAGTCAAATATTTGACTGTGACAATTCATCATCCTCATCCTCATTATCATCATCACTACCACCACTGAAATAGAGGTTTTTGCAGGTCAGGAGATTTAGATCTTTTAGCAGAGTAGGGGAAAGTATCGATCAGTTGCAAGGCAACCCACTTGACAAGGACAGATTTTGACACAGATGGGTTCAAGCCAGAAAAAAAAAGTTTTTAAGAAACCCTTAACAATCCCGTTGCTTTCAATGGGAATTGAAAGGAGCACTTTTTCCTGGATTGAGCCCCTTCGTAATATTCTGCACCAGATGTAGCAGAAACAGCCCATCTTAATTCAGCTGGGGAAGGGGATGCGAGCATACCAGTTCCTTACCCTGAAGTACATCCCATTGTGTCCAATGGGCTTTCCTCCAAAATAAAGTTGAAGTTGCCTGCACTTTTACCTGGAGGCCAATTCCATCGACAGCAGGAAGGGGCTTTTATGTTCGATCAGATGGGTGTGCAGGCTGTAAATGAGTGCAGAGTTTCAGTGTTACTTCCAAGGCAGAGTGTGCGGGAGTGTAGTCTTAAACGTGGTCACATTTCTGGGGATCGGGACCATTGTTTTGGAAGGAAGCCAGGTTGATTTTAATAGAAGCTCCACTATGATGGTTTGCATAAGATGGGGAAGGGGGAGGGTAGTATTAATGATAGAGAAGCAGTTCAGCCTAAAGAATAGAACAAACGCCCTCCCAAATTATGAAACAGAAGAAGTAAGTGTGCAAAATGAAAGTAGGGGGCCCTGAACTTGATCTGATTGCTCAGAGACTTGTCTCCAAACCTTTCCTCTTGTTGGGTGATAGTGAGATATTGAAAAATTGGTATTTAGCAGAGATAAGATAGTCCAGCAGAGCCAGAGTAAAATAATTCAGACTCAGAGTCCATGTGTGATTAAAATATAAAGTTTTTATTAAATTCTAGCATGGGAAGGGTAACTGGGATGAAAATAACAACAGAGCTAAATCAGCTACATCCTTACTCTACAAAGACAAAACTAGAAGAGAGAGATTATGGTTGCTCTTCTTCTTCAGAACACCAAACAAAGACGGGAAGAGAAGCCATAAAATGGTAATACACCTTGACACTTTAGTCCCAATCAAATTCCTAGATCAGGGAGAAAATTCCCGGGCTTTCTACATCTAAAGAACACTGGTTACATGAGAAACATGTGACTTCCTGTGAGTAACATAAACAAACATTTAACCCCAGATATACTGAGTGTTTTCAACTTGTAATACCCAACACCTCTCTCTTTTAGAAACACATGGCTTTCATTCTGAAATACACTGAAGCACAGCAATAACAAAAAACGAGGGGGTGTCCTTATTGTTAAGGCATAGATGGGGGGTTACTCTTGATGGACACTTTTAAATGTCTGGATTAAAGCATGCCAGGGTGGTGGGAGGCGTCAGGAGGGAGAAAAGAAGGAAATGCAGCTTGAAGAAGAAAAATAAGGACATATTAGGAATCAGTATTTGGCCTGCAATTCTGCGTACTGTGTGGATGCTTAAACCAATTGGACTGAAGCAAAATAACTGTATAGGTTTGAAGAAGTGAAGGTTCCTGCTGTAAACAATGATAAAGTCCCAGAAACAAACATCTGTGCGTGTGAAATCCCTTTTAATTAAGACGTTAGTGGGGATGGGAATCCACTTTACCTGTTATCATTGGGCATCATCTAAGCAAACTTAAGCTATTTTGAATGCCATTGGTTTCCCCAAAAGGGGGCTAAGAAAAATAGGGTGGCTATTGACGTGTATGTTGTTTAAAAGTGCTTAAATGGTGAATGGTTGCCAAAATTATATTAAAATAGGACAGCCACCTATCTGGTTCTTTTCAGCATAATGAGAAAAAAAAAATCAGGTCTCTGCCCCAAAGGACTTGCAGACTTGATAGTGTGGTAAAGGAGACACAGCCCAGGAAAGGAAGGGATGTGAAGAACTGTGAAGCTATAAGCAACAAGCATTTCAATAACTTTATGCAATAAGTACTTTAAAACACAGACTCTGATCTGCAGTTCCAATAGGCTAACATTTTCTTTTTTAAAATGAACGGTATTTTCTGAATGCTATGCATTGTTTGAAGAAACAGGGTAGTGGCAATACCACAAAGCCAATGCATGTTCCTAGTCCATTGTGCTCATAAGGAAGGGGCTGTTAGCAACTCTGTGCTGTATAGCAGCAGCAGCATCGTTGTTGTTATTGGTGGTGGTGATGTTAAGAAATATCAGTCACCGGAGCTAATATAACATTAGTGGCATTCATACGGTGATACATTTAAGCTATTAATAGCACTGAGTGATTTCTTAGCATTTTTTAAAGATTTGTTACAATATACATGTGAAGTAGTATGCATAAATGTTGGGTGATAGTGAGATATTGAAAAATTGGTATTTAGCAGAGATAAGATAGTCCAGTAGAGCCAGAGTAAAATAATTCAGACTCAGAGTCCATGTGTGATTAAAATATAAAGCTTTTACTAAATTCTAGCATGGGAAGGGTAACTGGGATGAAAATAACAACAGAGCATAATCGGCTACATCCTTACTCTACAAAGACAAAACTAGAAGAGAGAGATTATGGCTACTCTTCTTGTTCTTCAGAACACCAAACAAAGACGGGAAGAGAAGCCATAAAATGGTAATGCACCTTGACACTTTAGTCCCAATCAAATTCCTAGATCAGGGAGAAAATTCCCGGGCATCCTACATCTAAAGAACATTGGTTACATGAGAAACATGTGACTTCCTGTGAGTAACATAAACAAACATTTAACCCCAGATATACTGAGTGTTTTCAACTTGTAATACCCAACAATAAAACTTTAGTGACGGAAAATGCTGTTGGGGTTTTCAAGGCAAGAGATGAACAAAGG